ACTGGCGTACCTTTCATTTCGTTCGAGGTTTGTCGAAGGGATTCGTAGAATGGCCTCACCGGATATCGCTGGAGGGTTGATGCGGGCAGGGGAGCGGATGTGAATATAACTTGTGTCAACGCAAATAAACTGGAGTATGATCCAGCAGTCCTGGGTCTTGTTACAGCTTCGTGGATGCGTGTTTGTTTGCCTGTGTATGCAACAACCCCGAATTAGTTGACAATTTTAGGATCAAAAACAAGCTCCAGCTTAGTCTAGTCTTATCCTCTTACTCACTGGCTCTTTCTCTTCGGTCATATTCCTAATGCTATAATCCTGCAAGCTTTTAAGAAAGATGGGCGAACTATTGAGGAAATGGAGCGTCAAGAGAATGTATAAAGTAATAATAACGCTTTTCTCGATCATGCCTTCTTTTAGAGAATCCTCAGACGTCCTCTGCAGATCCGGTTGTTATAAGGTTTTGTTCTCCTGTGGTAGTGTTTATATGGGGGAGACTTGTCGACCCATACATAAGAGGCCATCAGAACACAGAACCTCCTGCATAGGTCTTGGATTCATAAATTGGAAGTAGCTGAACATGTTGTCACTACAGGAAACCATATAGAGTGGTTTAAATCCCAACGTCTTGCCGGCTAAAGGGACTTCACAGCTAAGCGGAAGATCAGGGAGTCGATTGAAATTAACAAAACAAGCAACATCCTTTATGAGAGGAATGATTGTCGAAATTAAGTAAGAACTATATCTGGCTTCCAAATAGAATAAGAGAGAGAGAGAGTGAGAGAGAGAGAGAAGAAAATGGAACAGGAAGAGTCACTGAGTAAGGGGAGAAGAATAGACTGAACTGGAGCTTGTTTTTGAACCTAAAATTGTCAACTAATTCGAGGTTGTTGCATACAAATGCAAACACGCATCCACAGAGCTGTAACAAAACCCAGGACTACTGAATCATACTCTAGTTTATTTACCTTGACAAAAGTCATGGCCAAATCCATTCCCCTGCCTGCATCACTTTGACCCATTTACATGCATGTAGGACAAGCATACGTCGGCCAACCAAATCCCGGAATGCCGCCTTAAGATCGCAAAGTGAGGTATAAGAAGTAAGTAGAATCTTTCTCGGTTTAGTGTTTTTGAAGGTTGTTCGTGAATAATGGTTTCTGGCTCTGACAATGTCCGTCACAGGATGGAGTCATCAGGGTCGTGAGACGGTGAGCCGAGGTCTTTTTCGCACAATTTAACAGACAAAAGTCTAAGGCAACCCTCCTGCGATATCCGGTGAGGTCATTCTACGAATCCCTTCACAAACAAAATGAAAGGTGAGCCAATTTCAATCTATTAAGGGATTATTTAAAACCCAGCTTCTCTTCATATAACAGTAGACATGTTTGAGCATTGAAGTTGTCCATAAAATTAAGGCTTGATGATGAGAATTACTCGGGAGCTATAGCCTCAAGTTAGTCTCCTATCCATCTTGAGAATCGAGAATTTGTCGGCCTACTAAGCGAGGCGGGAGTATGCGTGCCATCAAAGGCTTAGAGCAGAGTGTGGGAAATAACGCCTCGAGTAGCACTGATAGGCTGGCAGGGGTCGAGTGAAATACGTAAACCAGGAAGATAGGAGACAGATCCTACGAGGCAAGAGGGAGACTCTGATAAGACTTTTGGGAAAATGATTGCCGAATGCTATGGGAGATTCAGATCAACGTTGTCAGCACAATAGTAGGGAGGTGGGGTGAGAAAACCAGCGTGTGGTGTGAAGAGGTCTCATGAAATCATCTCAATAGGACACACTATTCCACATTGAAATAAGCAAGTAAGAAATTATGATAGTGAATTTTTGATACGAGTATATAGGATAGGTGAATACCCCAGGACAGAAATAGAGCTACCACAACTGTTTTGCAGACAATTGGTCAAATGATCAACTTCACTTGTCTCTTTGACGAGTTGTCGTGTGGTCCTGGGAATGACAAAGCTCACAGACGATGTCGACTACAATGCCGCGAAATGTCTAGGAATCTACCAAGTCCACTGCCCTACTTTGGAAATTATAATGCTTACTATTGTCTCTGGACTAGATGCGTTCCTCCAGGTCTTCCTGCCAATATGGTCAAGTTGCGAACCAAGGTCAAACAACTATTATACAACGAAAGAGCCCTTGACCATACAAAAGGCCACACCATCTTAGTCTTCATACCTCCGAAAATCTAATTATCATATTAATATTTTTAGACTAGCGTTCTGAGTCTTAAAAATGATTTGTATGTAAATACTTTCATACATGCATGAGTATTGCACTAAGGCTTAAAACCATGTTCTGTATTGTTACAAATAAATTTTCCTTAACAAATCATTAAGATAACTAAAAAGACTATTAATGAATACTGTATGAAGACTAATCAAAACTGACGTTCATGTAAATTTTGTCGGTTTCTCAGTCGATCTATCCATCTATCCATCTAATGTTGTTTGCTATCTAATACTATGAATTTAAAAAATTGGCTAAAATCGAGGCATTCACAAATTCATGTGTCCACTTAAACTTGCTATAGAATTCGATCATCTATTAGATATCGTTATACATTTATGAGTGTGCTCAGCAGAAAAGTGCCCCCCTTCCAACTCACAGGGATATTCACCTGTTTAAGCTGAGTTATATAAAAAGTATTATTGTCCTAAGGCTTTATTTTTTGTACTGGCTTTCTCATGATTCTTTTACAAAAATGGCTACGTCTAGACTGGCCAATCCGAAAGGCACCAAAATTTAGTCAAAAAACTTATTGAGCGACAACCAGAAGGGTGTGAAAGAGTAAAATAAAAGAATAAAGAATTCAGAAGGGGCAGATTTAATGGCACAAATTCTTCTTCATGCAATTTCAAGTCGATATGACAAACAATAGAGTTCAGAACATTTGTAAGAACTTCGTAAAAGTGCATATATATGCATGCCTCAAAGAGTCCTACCGAATTCAGCAATGAAGACTGGAATTTGCTTGGAGGCTTATGATAAAGAGAGCAAGTCGAGAAATATACTGTGATACTTTTAACCATGATATCCCCGATTCATAATGCAGGTAAACGAACCGTAATTAGGCACAATGCTGCGAAATAATTGTTTCCATACTTACTATGCATGCAGAGGATCAGAGACTAAAAGTAGTTGCCTTAAACGTCAATATATTTACGGAAGATAAATTAGATAGTAGGAAGCAGCTTTCCACCAGTTCTGGTTTGTTCTTATTGAACTTTACAAAGCATAATTTGAGTTAAAAATGTTGTGAAATGTGATCAAAATTCCCCTAATCTGCAAAAACACAAAAAATACAGAACAAAGATTTTTGATAATACCGCAAGAGGCTTTTATGCTTAAAGAGTAGGTTCATAAATGTAGGTTAGAGTATTTATTATATTTTAGTGCAATAATAAATTCAGGTAATAAAGGAGTTTTTAGAGCAAGTGAATAATGCAAATTGGCTATTAAGGGTAGATGCTGAATCGCAAACAAGTAGAATGTATCATTGGGGGTACTTAAAAAAAATAACCACGCATGTAGCATTGCTATGCTCTCACGAACAATTATGATTTCTTGTTTTGATTTGATTCTAAAATAGTGAAAAAGAAACGTAATTAAGTACTCTTATTAATCCAAATCTCCCTACATTTCCAGAATATATGAGTCATAAAATGGTAAGACTTTTTCCAACAATGAACTAAATGCCATCATTCCCTTCCTACGAAATACTGGGTGAATGATAATGATTCTACCTGTTAAGGTGCTCTCGATTTACTTTTATTTTTTAAAGGAAAGGCCTAAAGGAAAGGTATCCATTGGGCGGACCGGGAGATAATGAGTTATCGAGAGGGCTGGAGAACATGCTCTAAAGTCGTCGTTTCGGGGCTTACAAGTGTTTAGCCAAAGTCCTACCTTATATGGATATAAATTGCCCCTATAAGAGGTGTGCTTCTATTTTGAAGTGACATTTCATTTCGTGGGAAAAGTTGGCTGGACGAAACTAATTAATTGGTGTCATATGAAACAGAATAAGGGCTGTTAGGTTGTGCGAATTAGCCCTAGGATCACCATCATGCGACCCCGATGAACCCGTGCTAAGCTTTTGTCTTTCATGTGCAAGACATCCTTACAGCGATAAACCTTACTTTACAAACTGACGCACCAAAATCAAAAGCCAAAAAAAGTAGTGCGGTGAGCCGAGGACATGTTAGCACAATCCAAAGCAATACTTATTCGGTTTCTGGTGCGACCAGTTCACGAGTTCCTTGCAGCCAACAATTCCTTCTAAATGAAAAGTCATGCCCCAATAAATCATTAGGCAATTCTTCGAAAACTAGTTTTTCTTTATATAGTGCTTTTTATCAGTTAACATTCTCTTCAAGTGTTTCATATGCATTCCCCGTTACCAGATAACATGGTAATCACCAGGGCGCAAATACTTAACTGGAATTCTCTAGGCATGATTTAATTCGTATAAAAGCACATGATACATCTAAAATGCTTGTTTTTAGCCTGTTCTGTAGATCACTTGCCCTTTTCGACGAGTAAGAATATCTCATTTCAGGCTGAATGGCCAAGTTAGTTTTGCTTAACTTATGATTCAAAGAAGACTTCTCGCACATATTCATGAATATCCACAAATGTAGGCGAACTAAAGGCAAAATATTTGAATAGATCTTTTAATGGTCAAGTCCACTTAGCCTACCACAAACTGCTGGTTTCCTGTGCATTCCAATAAAACAGAGCTGATTTGTAGAGGTCTTTTTTTTCTTCCACTTGGGTTCATGAAAAGTGAGGGCCAATGATGTAATTTGAGATAAACCGGAGTACAGAGATGAACGGTCGGAAGGGGATTGAAGTCCTGAGTCCGTCTTAAGGCGATAGTAACATGACATAATTCACATGAGCAAGTATGTACATGAAATATATAGAAGGGTCTGAAAGAATGGCTTCCAAGTACCGGCTTGAAGAGGGCAAACAAGTCCATTTTACTCGTCTGTAGCATCATATTTGGAAGGGTAGAGCGTGTGCCACATGGCGACTGCTCGTCTTGGATCGTTCAGCATCTCCTGCCACTGCTTCTTGCCAGCTACATCGGCCTCAGGGCCGATGACTACGCGGCCCAGCACATGCTTGATTCCAAGCTTTGACTTGTATTTAAGTTTGCAGACGACTTTGGCAAGTGGCAGTTTAGAGGACTTGATGGGGAAGACTAGAACATCACCGAAGTAGGGCGTTTTGGTGCTGTGTCGGACCACAGTGTGTTTGACGTTCAGGGTCCTTCTGCCGTACTGCAGTTTCACCGAGACGAAGGTGTCCGGAACTCCACCCAGTCTGGATTCGTCCAACTTCAGCCGCTTCGCCTCCAGCACCGTGACGTGTAGCGACTGATCGGCCGAGTTTTGCTTTAGCACCACACAAAGATCTCCAGTTCCCAAATCCATGTCTTCTCCCTTCTCCAGCCATCCGGTCAATTCCATCGTCTTGCCGATAAAGTGATTCATATCCACGTTCTTTAAGTCAACACGAAGCCGACCAATCGCATTGTCCAGCCCGATAGAATCATAGTCGTAGATATTCATTATCACCGAAGTGCACTTCAAAGTGTTGTAGGGCAGTTTGAAAATGAACGCTTCGTTCCAGCAGGGATTGTTC